AAAAAAAACTTTTGAAGTGATAATCAAGATAGCCCAGTACAGACAGTTTGATAAGAAGTGTGAGAGTGCTTACATGGGGAGATAGATTCAATGTTTGTAATGGCTCAGGCATTCCCAGTGTAGACTGCGCCCCCAGCACTGGTAGCTACACCCCTCATGGAGGTGGACTAGATGACCTCTTGAGGTCCCTTCCAACCCTGATATTCTATGAGGTGGTTTTTTTAGAGCGACTACACAAGCCAAATTCTTTAACATTGCTAGTGAAGACGTGCCCTGTAGCACTTCAAAAACATGAATAAATAAATGTAAGAGGTGAAGTATCACCATTTCATAGATGGTAAGTGCAGCACAAATCCCTTCTTTATGCTGGGAAATTGTCATATCTACACTGATAGTTACATGGTTTTGAGAAAAGGCAACACTGATTTTCAGCATGCACTGTTAGAGAGAACAGACTAATGCCGACTGGTCTTGTGCTGGCTGTATCATCCTGCCTCTCTATTACTTGATAACTTCTTGCAGCAATGTTCTGAAGTAATGCAGACATACCTATCCATGTGTCTAGAATACCAGAACTAGTTTGACACAGAATCTGTCATACCAGATTGAACCCCATGCCTCTAAAAAGAGGAACCTCAATACACTGCTTATTGTGCAGCGCAGTATTAAAGGGGAAAATGTCCCCATGACCTAAACAGCAACATCCTAAAGAATGATATTTAGTTACCTTATTTCAGCAAATACAAACTGCAAATATTCTTGATGGTAAAATTATCCAGTCTTAAAAAAAAAAAAATTCATCTACAACATTTGTTGCAGAGAATTTCAGGGTGTGAAAGAGTAAAGCTTTCCCATAAGTTTATCTCTCTCCCCGACACCAGCCAGGGAAGATGATCATTATGACAAAAGGTGTGCTGAATCAAAGCATTTCTACTGCAGTAGCATGAAGGAGCCCCAATCATGGTCCAGGAACCACCCCACTATGCTAGCTTGTACAAACTCTTTACAAAAAAGACTGTCCTCACTAAGGGCTGGTCCACACTAAGCTCCCAGTTTGAACTACGATACGCAACTTCAGCTACATGAATAACGTAGCTGAAGTCGAAGTATCTTAG